TTTTAGTCTTGTTCTTCAAAGCCGCCTTGGTCGATTTATTTGATTTATTTTTCTCCAAAAATTCAATACGGGTCAAATTTCCATACATCAAAGTATCGCTAGGTGAAACATTGGTTGACCATGACAGAGAGAGGTTGGTGCCGGTATTCAAATCCGACCCTTGTTTGATAGTAATTTTTGGAAAAATATTGTTTTGAATGGTGAATTTTTAAAAAATGCGTGATTAAAAAGTAGAAAAAAATTTCGAATTACGTTTAAAATATTTTGTTGTATGAATGTGTAATTGAAAATAAATATATAAAAAAAAGTTTTGAAATACGAGATCCAACCATTGACCAGTTAGTCTTGGACATAATGCCACTTTTAACTGAATATTTTATTTATTTCTTTCAAATATTAAAACGCGTCCAATTTTCATGAATAAAAAATTGACAGATGAAACCCTAGGATAAAGGGTTGGTAGGTGGGGCCATTGATGGCATTGGTCTTGCTTAGTCGGACTTGAGGAGAGGCCCAAAGGTTGGCAGGTCAGACCATTGACAAAAAAATTTGTTATGATTTTGTACATGTGGAATTGAATATTTAGGAAAACAACTAAATTACAGTTTCATCAGTAGAAAGAAGTTTCTCCAACTTGAAATTAATCAAGATTTATCTTCGATCAACTATGCCACAACAAAGATTGAATGGATTAAGCATGTTATCTATTGAAAAAGAAATTGTTGAACTACTCGACTATTCAAAATTGATTAATATTTTTTTTCTCTAAGATCGCAAGACGAGTTGTATTTAAATTATCGTTTAAAATATTTTCGCATTGTTATTTGTTGTAATATATATATTTTGAATATTTCATGTTTTTATTTTATTGCTTATTTTAAAAATTTAGTTCCATAAAACTCTTATAAATGAAAAAATTGATTACTCACTACGATTTGGGAGTTCAAATTCTAAAATTCGCCTTAGACCCCGCGAATCACAAACCAAAAAAAAAAGCTGTAGAGTCGGGGGATCACCAACAAGCATTCTTTTAATATTTTTAAGATAGAATTTGCCAACTGAGCTTCAAACGGAACTTTTCGATTGGAAAACTTTGATTCAATTATTATCTTTAAAAATATATATATATATCAATAAAATTTCTGATGGACGTTCGGAGATTTACGTGAGGTGACATAGCCCCATTTTTAAATCACAGGCTGAAACAAATGAAATCAAAGGACATTACTTACACAATTCAACATTAAAAGATATAGATATATAATACACACACACATCAAATTTCTTTTTGTTACTCAGTTAGCTTGCAACTATTGAATTATTAATAACTCTATTATTTAGCCCTTATATAAAAATTAAATTTTTAATAATTATTAACAAAAGTTGATGAAATATAAGACTAAAAGTTATTTATATCATGAATTCAAATATCGAAATTTTAACCATTAAGATTACTTGTATTACACTCTACCGTTTCTCTCAAAATCTTTATCTAACATGAATTATTCAAAATGAAACTTTCAAAGTGTACCGACCAACATTTATTTATTGACTAATGTCTAATTTGTTCATTATTGCTTAAGGTTATCTTGTTCCTTTTGTGACTTCTATTATTCAAATTTTTGTGACGATGAAATATTAAAAATGAGTAACATATTTATACTACATCTGATAAATAAGAATTATTTTCTAATACATGAATTTAAATATTCATTAAAATTCCTCGATACATAAATAGAAATAAATTTATCTATATTAACTCTAAATTTATGTAGATCAAGATTCATCAAGTCAAAATTCATTGAATCTAGATTAATGTAAATGCTAATTAATAATACGAAATTCATACATGATGAGGATTTTGTAGTATTTATTACATATTCAAAAACGAAAAGTAATGTATTATTGAAACAATTGAATTGTAGTGGGGTTAAAATCGTCCCAAAAATGATTCCCACTTTTAGCCTTGATATTTAATAGATTATAGATGACTGCATTTAGAGGTGGGAATTAAATACGGACTTATCTTGTGGAAATTATTGTGCAAGGGGGCCAGTTAAAAAGTTTAAATTATTAAAGATAATTAGATCTATTTATATAAAATTCTCTTCAACATGCAATGTAACTACATAAGTCGATATTTTATTAAAGACATGAGTTGTTAAAAATGGGATAAATAATTTTTTATTTAATATTAATTTTTAATAATTATTAACAAAAGTTAATTTTTTATTTATATCAATTTTTTATTTTATGGAAATATGAATTATTTTAAAGTTTCAGTATTTTATGGTAATAATTAAATATTGATTTTTGCATGTGTCTTTATAAGTGCATATTGTTCCATGTGAAAGCTATGCAGGAATTCTCATACTGCAATAATTAAATATTGATTTTTGCATGCGTCTTTATAAGTGCATATTGTTCCATGTGAAAGCTATGCAGGAATTCTCATACTGCATTGCCTATAAATTTTTTCGTCCTTCAGTTATAGTGATTAACGCGTTGATTTGGTGGTTAACTGAATAATCCAGTACTTGACTAGGATTGTTTTTAAGTATGAGTAATTGTGGATTCTTGAGAACTTACAGATAATAATAAATTAGTAGTAAATTATGGTTCTTCAAAATGAGTGGATAAAAAATATATTTGATCATTTATAAAATTAAGTTATGCTAAATATGCACTAATAATCATTGTTCTTAAATGCTCACATCAATAATGTATGTTTTTGACATGGGTTTTGACAGATACTACGTTGGCAACACCTGTATGTTTTTTTTTAACTGTCTAATGAAATAACGACACTTGTTCCCCCGTAAAAACTCAGTCACTGACCCTGTTCTATAGCAGGGTTGAGGCTCACATAATACTGCGAATCTTATTCTTACAATCAGGTCATGATTTATGCTTTATACGCTTAGCCCTAGACTAGAATTTTCACAGGCTCTTTTAAGCTTGTAAAAAGTTTCACCTAATATTTGCTTTTTAGAACACCACTATTAATTGATCGTGTACATGTGAACATATACATGAGTTTAAATTTTTGTGTCATGCCGACACTTCAAAAAATAGGCTTGTAAAATTAATAATTCATAAGACCTTTATTGACAATTGAAATTAACTGACAATGTTCTCCTGTTTATAAGATATTAGTTTTTAGACGAGATAATTTAATATCATAATAATGCCATAAAAGGTTTCAAATCTCGCTCGCACTTATGACTATAGTCTATATGTCATGTCCTTGATGATGAAGACGACGACGACGCGACAACAACAACAACAACAACAATAATGATAAAATGACGACGACGACAACAACAACAACATCAATAATAATAATAATAATAATAATAATAATAATAATAATAAAAAAGAAAAAGAACCGGGTTGTACAAATATGTTTAGACAAAAAAAAGTCAATTAATACGAGTAAGGCTACTGGTCTAACCTCTATATATAGAACCATATTTTTTTCATTTGCACAAGTCACACCCCACACACACACACGCTCAAGACAAAAGTAGAGGCAGAAAAATGGCAGCAATTGCTACTGACCTCCCCCAGCAACGAGCAGCAACTTCTGTGGAACCGTTAAAAATGAATGCTGGTGTTAAAGTACTGACTAAATCTACTGATCTTAAGTCCATCCC